TAATGTTCAAGCTCGCTGGGGTCGAAGTTGAGGTTGAAGTCTCCTTCACACCCTCTACCTTATTCTGAGATCCGTCCACTCCACAGTCCACAACTGGCCCATGTCCGTGCCCATGCCCGTGCCCACCCGCAGACAGTCAACAGTCAACAGTCAAGAGAGATTCAGGCTGCCCAGCCACGCTATGCCATGTATACAGAAAAAAACTCCTGGAGAACGAATCGAGTCGGGCACACTAGCTTTTTACGTTGTTCGCTGCTAGTACTAGGTTACTAGGTAATGTTCTATATACATGTGTCTAGTAGTAGTTATCCCTATTTCCCTATATACAATTCCCATACCTGCCTGTACCAGACCAGATAGAGCGTATTCTTCCCCTTTCCTCCCTCCCTTTAGTCCAAACTATTTGTACATTGATGATTTGAACGCCTCCTGTAGTGCAGCCGTGGGACTCGTGCTTCGTCAAAGATAAAATAGAGAGAGAAAAAATGTCGTCCTTCGTCTGCGCATCAATCGTGAGTTGCTGGATAGAGCTGAGGCTTCTCATCATCCTCGTCATCGACGTCCTGCTGTCAAATCTGTGTCAATCCGATGTAACCCACCATTGCTGAATATCGTGCAGAACGCTCAACGCATCTGCCCATTGACTCCAATAGGCAACAACAGTGTTTCCCAATGGCCTTTAGACATCGTATGTAGGACATTCAGCGCATGTTTCTGGCAGGGTTCAGACAGCAGTCCCGCACTTTTTGCACCTGAAACTTTGGCCTTTGTCCGTCATGGTCGCTTTGAATGTCGTGCCTCCACAATTTTTACATTTCAGATCACTCTCACTTCCCACACTGCTGCGCCTCCGTGACCGGGCTTTGCGGTTCTTGGTATCAACAGTTGACAACCTTCGCTCGTCGTCCCCCATACTCCCGCCAGGACTAGGATCACGATCAGATCCAGTAATTTCACTGGACAATTGGCTCATGTAACTGGGAGCGCGAGAGAGGGGGTTACCGTCCGGTCCCAAAAAGCCCGGAGTTCTCGGTATATGCTTCGCCATGGGTAATAATGTGCTCTTCATATCCCAGGCGAGGTATGATTGCTGATCCACTAGGAACAGCGGATCATTCGGGCTGTGTGGGAGATCACCTGGTGTGGGATTTGAAGGTAAAGGTTTCAGGGAGATCTGGGGAGACAGTAATTCCTGATCCGGAGTTTTCTGGGTAGCAGAATGAAAACTGCCAGGCGAGCCAACGACTGGAGACTGGACCGTGATCGAGGGGCCGTTATGGATCTGTTGTAACGGCGAATGGAACTCGGGCGACGTGGGGGAAGTGACAGTGTCTTTTCGAGGCGGTGCCGCCGAACGGTGAAGTGAAAGACGATGGCCCAAGATCTTTCTCGGCGACGCACTACGGGACCGCTCGTTGTTGGCCAGTTGCCCCCGGAAATCCACCATACTGGCCGAGGCGTTGTTGTTTGTGGTGTCATTTACACTCACAGAGTTCCTCCAGCTCAAGATGCGATCTGTTGACTGGGTCTTCGGGTTCATCACGAATGAGTTTCGGTGATTGGACGAGGTCACAGAATTGCGAGTCGCCACAGATCCGCTCCGACCGAGCATTTTTCTGGAGAAGTTGGAGGTCGAGTCCCACGACTCGTGTCTGCGTTTCTGAAAAGCACAGTCTTGCCGGAAGACCTTGATTTGTCCCGTGTAGTCGGCGGTGACAACTATCTGGCCGCCCGGATGCGAATGACGAGACAAATATGCAGGCGTCTCTGGGGCACGACGCGGAGATTCCGATACCCTCGTTCCGTCTTTGATATGTTTGTCGTCTGAAAGGTTGCTGTTATTTGTGGGAGCCCGAGACGAAATGACAGAGTCTGCACGACTGACCAGGGTCACTGGCGGTGGGTTGCAGAGGTCATATAGAGGATCCCCCGATTGTGCCAATAGACGTCGCGTCGCTTCAGGAGCCATTATCGCGGTAGTGACAATGGCTGAGTGAGCCTCAAACACTTCCATCGGCCGCTTGTCATTCTCGGGCCGTTCATTGACGGACGTTGGCCATATGTACACCTTGCGGTCTTCGCTCCCACATATGACATATTTCCCATCATCACTGAACGAAGCATGTATCTGGCTGCAGGAATTTTCGTTGCCGCGAAACTTGACTTCCAGAGTTCTATCCTTTAGGTTGTACATCCGCACCCTTGAGTCGTTGCTGGTAATCAGGAGTTTCACGTCTGGCTGACTGCCTTCTCGAGGTAATGAGATTGTATCGATCCCCGTAATCTTGCTCCCTTTGGCATTCTTGCCCCGTGCTGATCGAACATGAATTTGTGAATGCGCTTTGAGGCCTTCGGTATCATAGAGGATACACAACCCATTCAAGCAACCAGCGATGGCGGTCTTCCCATCTGGTGTGAATGCGACGGCGGTAACCATATCGGAGACCTGTGTCCAGTAGGCGACGTGCTTGTCTGGGATGCTCCATAACCGTATTTTCGAGTCCAGAGAGCCCGCTAAGAAGAAACGATCATCCCGGGGATGAAACTGAATCGAGGTGACGAAGTCGTTGTGTTTGAATGCACACAAACATTCCAGGCGGCTCACGTGGTACAGCCTGACGGTCTTGTCCATGGATGAAGATAGTAGGAAGTTGTTCTTGCTCCAGCTGAGGTCCAGGATACTCGATGTGTGGCCATCGTATTCGCGAATGAGTTTACTCTTGAAGACCGGTGCATTGAGCTTGACCTTTTCCCCATCGTTGTCTGTCTCCGCAAGTTTCTCCTCCATTTCTCGATCGTCTGCGGATGATATGACTTCCCACACCCGCAGCTTTCTGTCCTGTCCGGCAGCAGCGAGATATCTTCCATCTCTTGAGAATTCCATGGCCCATATCGCATTGTTCGCCGAGTTCCTAGGGAGTGGTGGGACGACATCACCGGGAGTATCGTTGATGCTGTGGATCTTCGAGTCTATCTCGGCTTTGCGGCTTTTGGACGGCGGCGTCCCCAGGAGAATCTGAGCTAGGAACAACCTGTCGAAGTCCTTCTGCTTTCTATACTGAGCTTTTACCTTGATATATCGTGGTGGCGCAGGGAACTTGGGTATGAAGCCGACGGGTTGAGAGAAGACTTCGGCCTCGACCCCAGCAGGTCGAACCTCAGAACCGACCTCTGAAGCATTGTCGTCGTGAAGGTCAAAGGAATCCCGTTTCTTGTTGCCCATTATTCGACTGAGGAAGGAGACGCCTTTCCTGCGGAGACATTGGCAATTAGTATACCGCAAAGGGTCAACTTTCAGCGCCGCGGCCGAGAAGCAGCAGATCGCCGAGAGCACATGGAAACAAGGTGCTTATCCATGAAGATCAGAAACAGGAGGAGGGGAAAGGATTCGGGGCACAAAAAAAAGATGGTGCCTGTTCCTCATGACTTCTACCAAGGGGACTTACTTCTTCTCCTTGCCCGAATTGCTACTATCAACCCGTCGCAACGAAGCGGGTTCGGCTTTCAGGCTCCCCGAGTCGGAATAACCGGAGTCTGCATAAGGCGACTTGGAATTCACACCGCCTTGAGAAGAAGCAGGCAATTTGCTTTGCGACTGGGTCCTCTCCAGGATTTGCTAGAAAGGCAATGAGTGAGCCAAGCGGTGCGAGCCCAAGTGGGTATTGGAGGTATACGGTACCCTTGAGATGGGATCTAGGACGGGTTCGGAGCCAGGCTGGGGCTCGGATGAGCCTACGATCAGGTTGGGAGACATGTTGGCTGCTGCGCTGGGCGTCCCCGGGGTCAGGCTGTAATTGTAATCGCGACGAGGACTGCTGGCAGCATCCGGTTCTCGTTCTGAAAGTGGGCGGAACACAGTCAGCACATGGACTGGGCAGTCTTGGGATGAGCAGTGGAAGATTTGAGGCAAGGTTGGCGTCCCGGAGACATCAAGACGGCGAACCACAATCTGCTGATTGCGACATCACATAATGACCTACTGCTGTGGGAAAGAGGAGCAGAAGGAGAGCGAAGAGGCTGTTGTTGGATGTGCGCATTGGAGCTGGCGACCAGCTCCTCGCTGATGGGAGGGGAAACATCTGGATCGCATGATGACAAAGAGCATTTAGACTCGATGGCCGCCGCCGCCGCCGCCGCAGCTTCTGGTGGTGCCTCTGGCGCTTCTGTCTTGGGCGTTGCGTCACTCGTTGCCGTCAAGTAGTAGTTCCCTAATGCCACCACCCGCGCAGCCACCATCTGGGCCATGGTCGAAGCCTCGCGAAACCGCAGCGTCGACAATATCGATCACAGAAATCCTGTGTATAGAGAACAGATCGTTGACGACTGCTGGAACCAGGAAGAAAACCTGATCGTCACGAAACAAGCACAAACATCGGTGAGCTTGTTATGGATCCGAAGCGCCACCCTGCTTCCACTTGACTCTACCTACTCATCGAACTCTTCTTATCCCGTATCTGACTTATGCGGACAGATACAAAGTCAAGACCCGTCCAGAGTAAACCCTTCAGCTAGCCTCGTTGGGTACCCTTCGAACCACTCACTGCTTGAATCATCCCTCCATGCAGCTGAGCTCATCATCTGCCAATCTCTTCAATTGGCTGCCTACGACTCCACGAATGTTTACAAACACGCTCGCGCCTTTTACTGCTTTCGTCGTGGTACAGGTCCAAAGAGCATATCCTCGCGGGGACCAGAATGGAAAATTTTCTCTTCCATGCCGACGGAAGAACGGAGGCAAAAATAACCATGTTTTCCGACGCTCCTAGTGCACAAATTATGCCTTTAATGCGAGAATATCACGAGAGAAATTGCAGAAGCCAGAGAGCCCAGGAGCCCCGCTTACGCAAAGGCCGATGCGAATACGAACCCGCTCGTATAGGTCCGCGTTTGGCTTGTCCTGGTTCCCGCACAACGTCGCACATGTGCTCTCCGAACATCCCAGACCGCCAGCCCGTGCCCAGTTTCCTTCATGCTCAGTCCAATCATAAAGTCCAAACATTTCATTGCTCCTGGCTTGCGATTCTGCCCAAGTAGCCCAAGAGGAACGCCTTGTTCTCTGCGCCTGTCTGTCGCTTTTCACCCGCAGCGCGCCCTGTTCCTTGCCCACTCATAATTGATGTCATGCTTCCCACACGGGATGTCCGTGTGGAAATGGGTTCAGTCCCGGAGAGTGGCACCTCTCCATTGGCGCTGAGGATTTGACTAGATGTCAAAGGCGACACTATGCCCGAACTAGGCTGTACTGTTGTTGCCCTAGGCGTAGTGTCCGGTCCCCCACCAAACAGAGACAGCAACGTTTGTTTCTGCGCCTCGGTTTGGGATGGTTTCCGGCTCGGTGTCGATTTTTCGCCAAAGTCTGCCCCAGATTGAGGTGATAGAGCCGCAGCCAGCGAAATCGGCTGCTGATTTGGAGTCTCGTTCACACTGGCGACTCCACCAGCGATGGCTGCTTCCGTGTTCTGCGGCCGACGAAGAATTTGAGGCTGGAACGGTTTCGTTTGCTCCTTTGGGGTTGCCCTGTCCCTCGCTGTCCGCCTTGAGGTAGATTTGGGCACTCTTGGAGACCGTGGAGGCTGAGAGCGAGACTCTTCTGAACGCGTCAAAATCTTGACCGGCGTAGGTTGATTGGGATCGTACAGCGTCCTGTTGGCAGGAAGCGGGCTGCGACCCATCTCGTTCGTCGCATGCCTGCTTGCTCTGGAGACCACCTCAAATTCCGGTTGATTCAACGGGCCACTGATCGTAGCAGACGTTTCGCCCTCTTTTGGAGAGGGTCGTTTTATCTCGGTCGCTTTTCTTGGTACTTCTTGAACGCCCTTTCCCAACAACGACAGAAGGTCCTCCTTGTTCAGTTTCGAGTTATGAGACGAAGTAGAAGCAGACGTCGCTGCGAGTTCCACTGGCGGTGGGCGTGGAACGACTGAGATCTCCGTTGGTCTAGGCGGTGATGGTTGGGTAAAAAGCTGGAGCAGGGATGACTGTTGTGCATTCTGAGGTCGTCTGGAAGGCAGCACAGGGAATTCCTGACTTGCAACGCCCGCATTTGCGGAACCCTGTAACGGTGCGTTTGAAGACCAGGGGGGCAGAATATTGCCAGGTCCTTGGACGGCGTGATTGTCCGTGAGTCGAAGGGCGGTCGGTACACTCTGCGTTTGCGCCTGCCCTGGCTGCGAAGCCCCAACCCGGCCCAAAGTGTTAGGGGTCGACGGCTCGAATTGAGGTGCTGGCTGAATAGTTGGGCTCGTCGCTCCCTTGAAAACATCCAATAGAGCTTTTGTGTGGTTGGTCAGCTTAGGCAACGCACTGGCTGGGGGAATGGCCGCTCGTCCGTGCTGTGTGGTTCCATCGGGCGCAAATAATGGATCGGAAGTCCTTTGGAAAGGTGTGACCCGTGGCATGTTCTGGATGGGATAAGCGGCCGCATTCGAGATAGCTGTCGAATCTGGTCTCGGGGGAGCTTGCTGTGCGGGCAAAACCACATTGCCTTGAAACTGCGCCTGGAACGGAGGTGGGGGCTGGGCTTGGTCTATCTGTGGCTGTCGTACATGGGAGATATGCGGCGATTGTTGAACCTCGGGCGGCAACGAGATCTGTTCAAGTGGAGTTCGAGGTACGGTAGCGACTGATCGGTTCTGCGGATCCCCTCGCAGAAGAGCCAGAAGAGCATTGGACTTTTCAGTGTCGACCTGCGGCATATGACTTGGTGGCAATGCTGCTTGAGGCGGTGCAGCTTGCCCTCCAATATGAAGAAGCTCCTTAAGATGTGAGCTTGGGTCGACAACGTTAGACTCGGAGACTTCAGGAAGATCACTGATGGCCGGTGGTAAGGACTCTCCAAGGCGTGCCCCAATGCCGTTCTGTTCGTCTTCGGTTGTCACATCCTCCGGCACCATTGGGGGAGCTGCTAGGTGTGAGCTGTACCGGTTTTCCTTCTTTCGCTGCTGAGCTATCCATTTCTTGAGCGGGTTCAAAAAGGGTGCCACCATATAAAACTTGTTTGCGTTGATTGCTGTGTGATCCGTACCACTGCCGTCATGCTGGCGATGATTATTCTTCTTTAACGTGGGTAAATCTGTCAATTTGTACCATTCGATCTTGCTGATCTCTTTCCGCGTCCTGGGTTCGAAATGTGCATCTCTGGGTACTCCTCGGAAAACATACAGTCTCATGTGCTGTTCTCTCATTGTAACTTCGATATATTTCATATCTTTCTCGTCCTTAACGAGGCCAGCCTCACGAACGTCGAAACCGGTCTCTTCATAGACTTCCCGCACCGCACAATCGAGATCATTCTCGTCCTTGTTGATCTTCCCACGGGGGAAGCTCCAGTTCGCGCTCTTCTTCCAGCCTTTCACGAGGACAACCTCGTCCATGGATTCATTTAGCAGAATAGCGCCTCGGACAGGCACGCGGGATTTGTAAGCCAGGAACTCCGCGAAAGCGGTGGTATGGTGCTGGGCAGACCATTGCGAGAAAAGCGGACAGTGCTGAAATATGCGTAGGCTGAAGGCGCGTAGAGAAAGAGATGGGAGAGATGGGTCAAGGGGCCGAATGAAGTCTTCATAGAACCATTGCGCCTCCTCAACTTGGAAGCAAATGCGCTCCACAGACTCCAGCTCCTCTGGGGGAAGGTTTATGATGAATCGGACACAGAGGTCATCCAACCCTGGGAACATAGAGCGTTAGCATCTCAAGCAATAAATCACGCTAGGTGAGGCGTCTCACAGTCCTCCAGCTGCATCTCTCGAGTTTGTTGTTGGACGGGAATATCTGTTCATCTCCACTGCGCTGGAGATTGCGGGAGGCAAGAATCACGGTTCGGGATCAAACGGGACTGCAGAGGTTACAGCCTCACGTTCAAGTGTTGCGATGCTGTTGTGAATGGGCGTTTGGCCAGTCAGATCTGAGGGGTATGGTTTGCTACGGTGACTGTGAGACACGCGCAAGAGAAGAGAGTCTAGCTCTCGAAGTCGGTGGCTGTGCACATTTTCTGTGGCTGGTGTTTTGGCACAGCCACTAAATGACGAATTGAATGACGTTGGCGCGCATGCGGGCGCAGGGAGAGTGTCAGGGAAATGCAGCGCGTAGAAATCCCGTTTGACAGAATCTAAATGCCAATCACTTACCGCAAGCCATCCTGGCTTCTGACAGCACTTTGTTCTTGCGACTCATCTTGTCTTTGTTTGGCAAGACTAAATCTGCAGGGACATAAAGCCACAGATATCATTAGGGTGGTCTTTGTGGGCATTTAAGACCTTCGCCAGCCCTCTTCCCTCACCTTTTCCACTATACACCTAATTTTCGACTTCCCTGCTGTTCGCGCCTCACAACAACAGACGTCGCAAAGATGACATCTTACGCCGCAAAGCTGGTAGCCAAGAAGCTATTCAAAGAGAACTCAGCCAACAAAGGCGGCCGTGAGGTATGGGACATGAAATCAAGAGCCCAGTCTCCTCTAACATGACACAGGATCCCTTCTTCGAGACGATACCCGCTACCAGGCTCGGAGGACTCTACAAAACCACAAAGAAGCGAAGAAGAGCTCTCCCTCCAGGCCTGACCACAGAGGAGGAGAAGATTCTTACCAAGGCGAAAAGACGAGCCTATCGCGTCGACCTTTGCCTGGGAAGCTTTTTGGGCACAAGATTCGGCTGGGGCGCGGTCATTGGCTTGATACCTGGGTAAGTCGAGGGCTGATTCCCTAGGACACATATGCAGTGCCCGACGCTGACGACTATTAGTATTGGTGACTTCCTGGACCTCTTCCTTGCACTGATGGTCTACCGCACCTGCTGCTCCGTTGAACCACAATTATCCGCATCCATCAAAACGCGCATGCAAATGAATGTTCTCATCGACTTCGTGGTTGGGCTCGTCCCCTTTGTCGGTGACTTCGTGGATGCGGCATACAAGTGCAACACCAGAAATGTGGTTCTGCTCGAGAAGGAATTGCGCGCGCGTGGTCAGAAGAGGATTAAGGGTACTCCGCAGGCCAATGTTGCAGACCCGAGTCTTCCAGATGAGTTCGATTACCAGAACGAGGAGGGTAGACTGAATGCCCAGAACGGTCCTCCCCCGAGATATACTTCACGACGAGAGTCCAGGAGGTCGAATCGAGAGAGGCAACGAGACGTCGAAGCCGCAGAAGGTGTACCTCCGCCCATGCCTGCTCGGACCCGTTGAGTTTGCGCGTTGCGAGAGCAAGCCGTGCTCTACCTTGATATGATATTACATTTGAAACTCGGCAGTCAGAGCGATGGCAAACATTGAGCGTTCCTTTTCCTCCTTTGTCAAAGAGTCCAGAAGGAAGAAACGGGGTACTGAGATCGGGTGGGGATTCACGAGCCTCCATATCCGGAGGAATCTTGAGGTTTAATATCCTGCTTCACCCTCGCACATCCGTAGCAAAGAACAGTACTTTCCAATGAGCTCTCGTGATGTGTTATTGCCGGCATTCCGCAGACTGGGCAAGTGTTTGTCTCGTGGTTAGCGGCCTTAACTTGAAGTTTACTCGCTGTTCGCACCACGTTTGCCATTATGCCAGGGTATTTGACTCCCTGACCGATGATGTAGTTGCTGAGGAGGTCGTCAATCGAGGTATTGCGAATGGTTGATGGTTGACGATCTGTCATTTCATCCCTCGACTCTACCACCAAAGGGTTTGACAAAACTTGTGCATAAGTCTGAAGCTCAACCTTGAACAGGTCACGAGAGGGATAGTTAAAATTGACCCCATACACGGAGAGTCCGTCGGCGATGGTTGAAGAGACTGACCCACCTCTACCTTTCGCAACATCTGCCAGTGCCAGCGCTGCCAAACGACTATCCGAATGGCCCCACAGCACAGCCTCGCAACTTTGTTGTTTGGCAATTGAGACCAGTAGTCTCCGGAGAAGGATCGATATTAAGTCTGCTCGTGCGGTCACGGATGTACAAGCGGAGAGTACGCGGTGCAAAAACGTCTCATTTTCTTCGCCTTCGTGACGATCAATCCCGAGATGAGTGAGGGATCGGTCAATTTTCTCGTCCAAGCGGAAGACATCGTGGAGATAGAAGAGTGGGAGAAAGTCGTGCAAAGGAAGCCTGCTGCGGACTGCCTGATAGTGCTCCTCGACCTCAGCCCGAGTCTCGATGTCAGGCAGTACGACCCGAGCGATGATGAGGCCGTAAGCAGTTCGATTGCGATTCTCCATTTGCTTGCGCAGTTGAGCATCAAGCACTTGTAACAGAACAAGAGAAGAGACACCGCCAGAGATTGGGAGAAAGAGCCGGCGCTTTTGATCTCCCGCAAGATTTTTGAAGCGATACGACTCCATTCGTTTGAGGATTTTGGAGTTTACATATCGGATGAAACATGTAGCACATAGGCGCCGGTATCTGATATCCAGGCTTGCGGGATGCTCTTGACAGTCGACACAAACGTCGCCCTGAATGCCTGTGGTCATTGCGCTAGGGAGAGTTGAACCCGGAAGATTGTGGATGGGAAACTTGACTGATGGTGAGCATAGATGGACCGAGTTGCAGGGCTAGGATATCTACTGCATGCATGTATGTACGAGGCAAGTTCAAAACTTCAATTACTGGCACCCAGACTGGCCTGGGGAAAAAAGTTTTGTTAATAATATGGGGCGCACCAGGGCGATGAACGGGGGGAGACTGCGCCGCTTAGACTTGCCGCTTTTAATGCTCCTCCCCCACGACCAGCATCTCCAGCAAGATTGCTTCCTCCTTACTAGGTAGCCTCCTTTCTATGAACTTGTTAATGAAAGGTGGTTGCTAGAAGCAGCCATTACAGAGAACACCCTATACCAAATCATAGCCAACTGTGAAAGTCTTGGTCGCACCCTGCGCCCAGTGCTTGTCTATATTGCAGGCCAATCACTATTCCCTGCGATAACACGGGCAACCGGATTTAATCCAAATATCCTCCCCGAATATAGGTAACCCTTTTCCAAGGATACGATATGATGATCCTAAGTACCAGGTGATCAAGAATCACCCAAGCCGGTGGTTCTGTGACGTACAACATACACAACAAATCAAATTCCACGTGTGTGGTAGTATGACGTAAAATAGGATTGTCCACCCCTCCCCCCTTCATTCCCGCGCCTCACAAGACATGGGCGCCGACTGATGCAAGTCGCCGAGATCCAAAAGTCAAAGAGGGTGAGAGGAAGCGAGGTAGATCTAGGCTGTTGATAAGACTGCGCCGTTGTAACCGTAGAACTTCCTTTTGTCAGAGAAGGATAGTCTGTCCACCTTACTCCTCCGCCAAATACACATTCCCCAAGTTTCGCTATTTCTCACCTGGTCCCTGTACGGATTCCAACTCGTTTCTCTGAACGAGAGTTGACTCTGCTCCTCCAGCAGCATTCACCAAACATTGACACACGCGAAAGCTAAGAGTCATGGGCACGAGCGTTATGCAATCAGGCAAAGAACCACCCTCAGGCATACAGGGCAGAGGCACATTGGATGAGCCGTATGACCAAGGAAACGCACCAGGTAGGCAGCCAGTGGACATACCCTGTTGTGCACTCCTCACTGAGTGTCTGCTTGCTGCAGAAAACACCGCCCTCCGTTCAGATCAAGAACCTCTATCAGGCGTGCAGGGCAAAGGCACAGCGACAGAGCCGTACGATAAAGGGAATGCAGGAGGTAAAGTTGTGTGCATCCGTTCTGCAGCATCTCCATACTGAACCCATTGTAATCGCAGAAAGCACTACATCTTCACAGCCGACGAACGCCCCTGCCTCGGGCGCTTCGGCGGCACAGAAAACTGCCTCCACCAAACCCTCCGAGACAAGAATTAACCCATTGAGCGCGCCGACAAGACGCCCTGCTGAAGAGCGGGACGTCAGCCCCGGGACATTACCGGACGGCTCTCACGCACAAACGAGTGGTGACCGTGGGGAGAGCTACGAGCCAGGGAAGGGACTCCACAGACTCAAGGGCAAGCTGGGGTTTGGAAGACATTAGAAAGAAACTTGGGTGGCGTATTGCGTTCGTCAACGTCCTATTTGCGCAGTCTCACGAGATGGGGAGGGCTCTGCGTCTTACAAGCTCTCATAGACCGACCAGATTATGCGACTGCTGTTGTAAGAACATTGCGGTTTGGTGGCATTGATCGTCTAGGACATACTTTCGCCCAAGCTCACAGAATTAGCGAGCGGTCGGTCATGCTAGGCTAATGGTGGATTAACCTTGAGCGTAGAAGTACAATATAGCTGAGGATATGGAGGCGAAATGAAATGCTAGGATATTGCCGTGGAAAACCAACCCATTCAATCAATGGCTCGTTGTCTACTCGGTAAGAACAACCGAACTACGCCGTGCTACGACTTTGTCGGACGGGGAATGTCCGACCTCACGTCAACGCTTACATACCTAAGGGTCCATATAGACATGTTCATCAATCTTTTTGATTGCTAATTGTCACGATAACTCTGGATCTATCTCTATATGCTTCAAAACCATCTCAAGTTTATTGACACGTCTACTCGATACTCAAACAGCTTAAGTCTCTGTGGATCCTCCTCACCGCCTAGGTCGAGATGTCTACCGTCGATATTCCCAAGCTTGAAGCGGGAAATCTGTTCAATGTCAATGGCCTCGTGGCCGTGATCACTGGCGGTGGCTCAGGTACGGTAGGACCTCAGTCGGCAAATTCTGCATG